AATGTCAAACATAGGGTTTCTCTTATTTAATTAAATTTTTTCTCAGAGATTCTAGTTCGTATCATAATTATTTTTTATTATTTGTTACGAAATAGAATCATTTTCTAATATTTATTTTACACCAATCTCAATAAAATTCCGCGAACTCGTGACAAGAGGAATTATGTGTGTCGAAAGCATCTGACCACAAGAATTTTTATGAATTTGCAGTCGTCGCGATAAGCATGTAGGAAAAAAAGAATTCGATGCTCTTGGAACGCTTATGTCCGCGTATGCTGTCCCGGGTGCACTTCATTAAAACTTTTAAATTTTCCCTCCTCATCGTTTCGCAGGGTAACTCGCGAAACGAGAGAATTTCACTATGCCGCGTCGCACCGGCATGAATTTGCCGGTCCCTTGAACGTCGTTACGTCAGCCGTGACCCTCGTGTAGTGCTTCTCTATATAGTTTCTCATGTAAGTGTCTCGCTCTATATGTATTTCTTTTACTTATTACACGTACAGGTATGCAACTCTTGTATTTTGTTGCAAACTGCAGTCGCGCAACTATTACACCTAGAACATTGAGTTGCAAAGATCTATAACCCTGATTTAACTTAGCTCAGCCTGATCACTGATTATGAAACAGAATGTCTAAAGTAACTCTGCCTCTTATAGCTTACCTAAACGTTGAGATTTTCGATATTAATTAAAAATACGAGACATTTTCAATATTTACTTGGGTGAAGATTTAAGTACCTGTGGAACTATCCACAAACAGCATATTGGGTGCAGTACTTTGCATACATAAAATCCTCGATTTTTGAAAACCAATAGTCATATTTAAAACAGAAAACATTTCCAAATATTAACTAAAAATATAAGACATTTTTAATATTTAACACGCATGCAGTGAACATTTAACTATCCATGTAACTATCCACAAACAGCATATTGGATGCAGTACTTTACATACGTATCTAAAGCTCTTGATGTTTCATTCCGTTTAGTCGGGGATTTTTAAACGATTGTAATGTCAATAATTTCGTCATTCCATCAACCCCTTAGGATAAATTGAACGAGGTCGCTTGATATGACAGTCTACATTTTAAAGACAGAGTCAGTGTTATATTTCACTTGCGTTAATCTCTTGAAGATCTAAGGCCGTCCGACGACGTTATTAGGCCCCGGATGACACGAGGGTCGAATGTCTAATCGACCTAGGAATAATGTGTCGCGTTTGCCGGGAACTTCGTCCTCGGCCGAGCCTTGCTCCAAGGGATATTCTAATCCGCTTCTGAGAGCTCCCACCGTTCCTCGTAGAATCCGACCGGGTAGAGGGAAGCGAGAGGTGCCGTATGTACCAGCCCTCCGTTTATTCGTTGCAAAGCTCGCTCGCGAGGATAGACGGCGAAGAACAGAGGGTGAAAGAGGGGGAGGAAGGGGGAGGAAAACGATAATTCGGCTCATTCGGTGGTTGAGCTCCGAGAACGGAGACTCGAGTCTCCTCGCTCAGGGTGAGCAACTGCGGGCCATTTTCTACCTTCCCTCTTCCTCTCTCCTCTTGATATCGCTGTTGGACGACGACTACCGAAATTCCGCGCTAATCTCGATTTACGACACCGCGGCAAATCATATGTGCCTCTGGCGGTTCTCTCCCTCGTGCGCGCGTCTTCGCGTTATTAGCCGGTTATCAAGCAGCCGTGTTTCTGAACCATCGGCTGTATAGGTACATTGATTGCCTGTATTATCCTAGGCGTGGCAAAACGGTTTGTATGTTTCGAAAATATTTTTCGAAAATAACTTTAGAAGACACTTACGGATTACATAGATAAAACGAGATTTCTATATGAATAATTATTATATAAATAATAAATAAGCAATATAATAGCTTTCCTAATTAATTTATTAAATAATTGGTAATTTTCTGGGAACCTTAAATTATTACACGAATGATTAATCTTTCTTACGTTATCTTTCAATATTTCAACAATGTTAAAATCAATTCTGACCCGATCGAATGGTCATCTATATATTCATATGCCATTTCAGTGTACCTAGAATAAATATCTCAGATTAATACCCGCATATACACACACATAGACCTTACATAAAATTTCTTTGAATTTATTTTTAGATGTTCAGCAGCCAATAAAATAATTCATAGAGCATCTGAAGATAAATTTAAGACAAGGATTAAAATGAGAATTAAAAAAAGAACTTGCGCATATTTAAAAGAGAAGAAGGAATAGAATTATTGCTCTCGAGTCTAAGTGATGGTATACACACAAAGGCTGTCGAAATTGTTGAACTATGTTTGTATCACGAGCATACTCGACAAAACTATCTGCCGGTGGCGCATAGGCTTCGCGAATTTATCAATTTCGTGTATTCCTCCGGAGGTTCTTGGCCGGCGGAGAGATTGTCTGGAATGTCGCCAGGCGAGCAATCGTTCGTCCAGCTGGAAGGAGAACTTTGCAAGGTACGCCTGGAAGTCTTTGTGAGAGAAAGTGGCGAAAAAGAATGCACAGAGGTGGACTCGAGGAAGAAAAGGGAGCATGGACTGAGGCAGATAGGACGAGTGGTGAACAAGATGGAAGAAGGAAGAAAGGAAGGAAGGAAGGACAAAGTCTGGGCGAAGAGACCACGAAATATCTGTCAATCGCAAGAGCGGGGAGGACCGCAGCGGCGAAGTCGATTTAACGCCCGTTAAGGAAGCAATTCCTTTAAGAAGGACGAGGAGGCACCTCGTCCGTAAGGACAACGTAACCCCAGAGATCCTTGACCTTTGTCGGGATCTCTCTTACGACCTCTTCTCGGCGGGGAATCGCTTCCGCGTCGCCATTATTGGCGGACGAATAGAACATCAATAACCAATTTCGTAAGACTAATATCGCGAAAATTAGTTTTCCTCCCCCTCCCCCCCGAGGTCCCCTCCCGCGAGTCCTTCGTATTTCATCGTTGGTACCTTTCGTTAAAAGATCGTGGACCTGCTCGATAGCGACGTTCATGGTTTTCTTAATGTCCATCCATAGGCGGCGAACGATCTCGTGAATCTCCTTTTATCGTCGTGCGATAGTCGTTTTTCTCCGCATCTCTCGCGCGCATCCTCTCCTTTTTTTTTTTTATACCCCGAAAGATATATCGCGGCGACATCATTACGTCGGAGCGACGTGGCAAATTTTTTAACTGGCATTTTTCAACGTGTTTGTAGAAATCTCAACGACAAATTTGGTATTCTCAAATCGATGTCCATAAATTACTACATTTTCGATTGAAAAAACGCGATGTTCTTTCAATAGAAAAGAAACCTCGACGGATTGATCTTCAGATTTCTTTCGTCTTTCTTTCGTAAATCTCAACGACAAATTTGGTATTCTCAAATCAAAGTCCATAAATTACTGATGCATTTTCGATTGAAAAAACGCGATGTTCTTTCAATAGAAAAGAAATCTCGACGGATTGATCTTCAGATTTCTTTCGTCTTTCTTTCAATTTCTTTCATAATTCTCAGAGTCCATCTAAATTTTATTAAACTATGTGCGATAATGTTAAAGAATCCTCCAAATTGAAAATTAAAATGTTCTAAGTTAAAAGGTTATGAGAGTTCAAATAGAATTGTTGCGCAAAAATTTTTAACTATGTACTCGTATTACATACATATATAACTTATATTTAGGTTATTATTACAAACTTATTCCGAATGTTTTGGCTGCATTTGTGGCTAGCAAAATCCTACGCTTTTGTGAACAGGTCGAGTCACCACTTAGCTGTATATCTTCAATTTCTCATCATGACTGACAGACAGATGATGATTCAGGAAAGAATGTTATTGGATCAAACAGTGAAGAGCGTGAAATCACAATAGTTTTTTTGTAAAGCAGATAAGAGATCGTAGTCGTACTGCAGTCGTAAAAATCAAATTCAAATAAAGCAAGAATATATGTTAATTAAATTTTACAACCGAGACATTACAATTACAAACACGTCATGCTCGTACTTGAGACTCGTGCAGTTATGATCTCACGATGTTACGTTGCTTGACACAAGAAACCCATCAAATTAAGAGAAATCAATAAAACAAATATCAAAATGACTTTATTTTGAAAGTCAAATTGATGATTTTTGATTACGAAATTTAACATAAAGCCATTTTGATTTTTTGTGTGTTCTTTAGAGGAAATATCAAGCGGTGACGACCCATAAACTGTCGATGCGTGTCGGTGCAAATCGCGTCGGGACGCAAATTTCACGGGTTTTTCCAATGGCGTTGATGAATAAAGAATGGTGAGGTCGCGCTCGAGTATGTGAGTAATGAAATGGAGTACGGAAAGGAAGAGTGGCATAAAGACCTTGTTGGGAAACTGAGTTTCATCAAGCCCCCTTTCTCAGCCCTTCTCGCCCTGCCCTTCTCTTTCTCTTCCTCGTGTCGCAATCTCGACTCCTTTATGTATATACATTCGCTCTTATCAGAACGCGCGCTTGTAGAGGATGGGCGACACCGGAGAAGGCCCGAAACAGAATTTTGCGTACCAAAGTTGACGAAGCACCCGCCATGCATTATTCCACTCGGCCCTTTGTGCGCGTATCGTGCCGTATCTGTTACCTGTTTTCGCACGTTCTCTCGTACTTTTTTATCGCTGTCATTGTTGCCGTCGATGACGACCGCTCGGTAAAGAAATCGACCGGTGCATTCAACATGTACCTTTTTCTCTGTTAACAACAATTGCACATTTAGGTGTTTTCGCCTAAATAACTTGGAATTAATATTGCGGAATTAATAACATATGAATATATTATTGCGTAAATGTAAATAACGTGATATAATTATGCGGCTAGTACATTGCGCGAGTGGCACGTCACGAACAAAAGCTAATCGATTTTAATAAATGTCACTCGTCCATATATCACCACGTCGGATAAATTTGCAGTATAACAGACACTGGATGAAGCTTTGTAAAATACTTTGGCTAAAATTTAAAAAAAAATGAAGAAATTAAATTCTAAGGATCTATAGTTTAAATTTTTTTCAAAATTTTGTCGTGATCTCCCATGTAAGTTTAATTTTTGCTGTTAAAACGCATTATTTTTGTTATAATTATTTTAATACTAATTTATCGGGTATATCGAAATAAAAGAAGCTTATGAGTTTATTTATTGTTATTTCTACGTTTAACTGCGTAATCAATTAAACCTTAGAGCTTATTAAATGCTTTCTTCCTGTCTTTCTTAACCTACAAACTTTATTTTAATCAATTTTTCATTTTTTATTAAGAATTTTTATCGAAAAAAGTGGATGCCTCAATTCGCCAATATATTATAGAATTATCACAGATAACTTTGACTCGTCGAGCGAAGATTACGAAATAATATGAAAAGAGGGACAAAGTGTGTCGTACAGACCATTAATCTGTCCAATCCAAAAACATGCATAAGACCGAAGGTTCAGAGACCCACTAGTACGAATGTAGATTATTCTTGCGATCCTAATCGTGCAAGTCCAAGTGCTAGATCAGCGGCAGTTAAAGCTTACTCGTGGAAAGACGCTCAATGGAGGCATCCGTCAAAGGTAAGGGAAGATTATCAAAGTTGTCAGATTTAATTAGTTTTCTAAAATTACAAACACATTTAAGATGAGTAAATATTCATACAATAATACATCATCAACCTTTGAGTTAAATTTTGAGATAAAAACCCTTATTAATGTCGCTACGTTGTTCAATGCCTGACAAATAAGAATATCGCAATAGAGAGAGGAATGTAATATCAACATTTTTGACACGAAATTGGATGTACATTTCACGCGAATCGCGCGGTATCCAATTCTCGGTTAAATCATGTGGCTTGTCGCTGTGTCGAGCATTCACTTGGCCCTCGCGCGATATTGACACGCCGCGTAACGAGATGATGGTGTTCGAGCACCTGTACGGAATTGGTTAGTCGATACGTAGTTGCGTTTACCTGGAATTAGCTCGACAGTCGGTGTACATACACTATAGCGATGGATCTCTAATGGAGGAGGCCCGAGTCTCCGTAACTGTTAGGGATATCGTCAAGGAACAAGTAGCCGAGCACGACGACGAATAGCGCGAAACGGAATGTAATTTATTTAATCAGATTATTATTGTCACAAATTTCTAAAATTATATAACGTTTCTCTGATTTTCAGACTAAATTTCATAATTTTGCTTTGACTTTCAATATTTAAAATTTTTTGATCTTTCATCCTGATTCGCAAACCGTTAAATATTGTGTTGAGAGATTAATTTAACATAATAATGTAAATTATTATTAATATTGTTGATATTATTTGTATTTTTAATTGTTAAGTTTGTAATATACCAAACTGTGCAAGTATGATGTGTACGTATATTATTATTAAATTTGTTTAAAGCTAAAAACAGTTTAATTTTCCAGAAAATTTTGTAAAATTATATTTTCCCTGATTTCCTAACCGTTTTCATTTATCCTGACAGCGTCAAATTGATGTATATTGTATAAGTCTAATTGCGTGCTTAGCTGTTTCAAATATATTTATAGTGTTCTTTACATTAATATTTAATTAATTTTATTATATTATTTATATCAATTATTATTATATAAAGTAGATTAAAATCAAATTAAATCCAGACATTCTTAAATATTGTATTTGATGCGCTGAAATTGGGTCAAATATCTATTTAGGCGTTTAATTATTTGAACAATAACAAGTAAAGACTAACTATTTAAAGATCATCTTTATTCGTACAGTTCTGTGAACCTTTTCCGAAAAAGTCTCCGCCGTCTCCGATACTTTGTAGGGCTGCGGCGTTTTTTATAAAAAGTGCTATCGTTGCTGGTCTCATCTGTTGGACCTGCTCGGAAGGTCTTTGGGGCAGCAGCACCGAAACGGAAGAGCTATATTACAGAATGACGAGTGTGATTTTCCCCGATCGACAGGTATATATATATATATAAATAAGCATTAAATTTACAAGCATTAAGAACGTGCAGATTTCTCTTACAATGACACATATTTTTCGCACAGACAAGTTTGCCGCGTTTCGAGGAAGTAAAATATTCTGTGTTCGAAGTGTACAATGACATGTTGGTGAAAGGCATGGATATTATGGTCAGCGTGCCGCGTGATGTGTATCAAAGATTGCAAGAATTCTTATTTCCCTGCAGTGCAACGAGGAAAAGAGAGAGGAGGGCGAAACGTTCTGACGAGTATTGAGTGGAAATATAATTTCGCAAATTGTGCATGTCAAAATTCGAGATACCGATGTGAATATACGTACGATATTTTTTTTTTACAAAAATTAAATTTATATGAAACTTTCAGGCTGATATTCAGAATCGATTCTTATTCTAAAACCGCCTTAGATAATGTCTTAAGTATGTTAGCACGTCTCTGTGATATTTTAATTACTGTATCTAAAATGATTTTAAATGTAAGAACCTATGAATATATCAACTTATGATTGGTTTATGACATCTTAAAATGGTATTATATATTTAAGTTCTTAAATAAGAATCGACTACGAACTCCAGCTTGTATTAATATTGTCCGTGAAATTTAAGTGGAAACGTGATTTATTGTGAGATCAGAAATTTCTGTAGCGTTAACATGCAAATAAACGTATTTAAAATTTGCCGTGTTGCTCGCGCAGGCTGTTGAAGATATTCTGACGTATCCCTTTCTTTCGTAGTTTTTACATACAGAATGCTTGGTATCCGCGGGTATATGAAACAGGATTAAAATTCTGCGCGACATCTTTTCCATTTTTTCCCTCCCGCGATGCTCAAGGACACACATGGGAGTTTCCAAGGTGTGCATATCAAGCGATTTTTATGACCTGCCTATGTATCGTCGTAAAATCTCAGATAAAATCTTAGAAGTCGAGGTAAAAATTTGCGTTTTCATTACACGCGCCCCTTCATATCTCTTCTGTAGTGTCTTATAGTGTAATGTTACCATATTACATGTCGCGACGGCTGATGTACGAGCCGTTAAGGAGAGAATATTTTTCGAGTTGGACTCGCGCGCGATGAATTCACTTTCGCAACTCACACGATACCTAAAGAGAGCGAAAAAACTTACGTGCGACGAAATGCAGGACCTTCCTCGTGCATATACCGTGAATTTCTCCAAGCCGCCAGCTCTGCCGTGACTCCTCACGCGTCGAGTATTCCTTTTTCGTCGAACTAGAAGGAAGTTTCGACCCCCATTTTTCAGGTGCGTCTATTTCTTTTTTGTGGCACGTGAGCGTCGTTTGTCAAGACACCTATTTTATTTTATAAGCGTACACCTAGCTCTCCCGCGAGTTGTATACCGTGTCGTTACGCGCGGAAAAGGGTCATCACACGTAAAAAAAATTTCAGTCGTAACCGTAAGACCGTAAACATATCGACTAGTCACAGTTGGGCGTTCTAAAACATAAGACTATAATTTTCATTGTGATTTTTGCTCGCGGCCTTCCGGTTTACGACTAAAACTTTTTTATGTATGATGGTCTTAATACCGGCTTAGTGAATAAAGAGTATTAAAAAAGAGCATCAACGATGCGTATCTTCGGATGTAACGTTATGAAAGTGAATCAAATGCGACTATTGGTACTCGATATTTATGAGTATATAAAAATCGAATGAAGTTTTATAATGTATCATATATCTCATCAATTAGTATACTTCTTTCTCACTTCTTCTTTCGGAAGTAAATTAAAAATTAGTTACTGCCTGTATGACTTTTCTAAAACCAATCATTTTATACATAATAATAATATACCGTTATTCTTGTATTTCCGTTGTGTTCCGGTGTGACGTTATATGATTATAAAACTAACCCAAAGTAGAGATTCTTAGTAATAGATTGAACGCTAAGTTTGATCCGCCATATTTTTCAGGATTTGCTTAAGGTAGCTTAAGATAGATTAGAGTGAGATATCCACGCATCTTCTTCGATTTTATACATTTATCTGATTCTCTAAAAAATATGGCGGACCAATCAAAAATTATTTAAACGTTGTCGAATTTCTTACTTGAAGATCTCAAACTCAAAGCAAAATCCAACAATATTGCGATATGTTCTTTTCTCATTTAATATACTGGGGTTTTACCTGGCCAGGACGCATCTGAAATAAACGCCTTAGGGATTCGGACAATTAAACAGTTTATTCAGATCAAAACATGGTGTAGTATATACATACGAGTTAGTTAAACGATATCGGGTCGCGTGACGGACAAGGGCAGGGAAAAGTGGAAGGGAAGAGGGACAAGGGAGGGTCTGATATGAAATCACCTATACAGTGAACTTGAGGTTCGGGCTTACGACCGCTGATCGATTTACATGGACTCTCTCGCGTCGTTACAGCTGATTATGTACAGTCACATTATTCGCTACTGTTACTTTTTCGTGATCGCTTGCGCTTATCTTCTTTTTTTTTTTATTCTCTTCTTCGTACTTGATTGTTGGGTCACGCCGACCGAGAACGTGACTTTCGATACCTACTTTCGGGCGAGTCTCCTCGCAACACGCTCGCTGAATAAGGTTCTCGCGCATGTGTATGAAAAAGATTGATATATCCCCGACATTTCCCGTTCTTATAAAATGAATACGGGCAGTATAATACTTTGTCTTATTCTAATTCTCTCGGTCCGCTTTGACGCGTTACCACCATTGCTCATCCTTGAATTTCGAACGATTCTCGTGGACGTGAAAGATATGTGATATTAATTGATCAATTTTTCGACGATCGTTCAGTAACGATTGCTAGATTCAAGGGATTCGTTACGAATCGAGTAAAGAAAAAGATCGGGAAGCTCAAGACCAGATCTGTTGAAACGAGAACACACGTATGAATATAGACGAAATCTCGGCCGATTGTGTCGTTTATGAGTTTTTGGCAGTGTGTGTAACCGTGCACATGGGCTCACAATTTAATCCTCCATCGATAACATGAATTTTAACTCTTCTGTTAGCAATACAAATCTTTAAGAAATAGAATAAAATTTCCAGATTCTATAAAAACTAAAAAAAAATCAGGTATACTTATTAAAACTTTAATAATGAATTTTTACTGTCATGTGTGTGGAAGTTGGGATTGTGTGTATCTTTTTTACGGATTTAAATTTATCCACCGGAATTCATAATTTAAATATCGATAGTGCTTTTAAAAGCCTGAATTACCGGCAAAAGATTAATTACAAGCAGAAATTAGATCGATAAGAATAAACCAAATAACAAAAAGCATTCAATTTTTTCGGTCGAAGTGAATAATTGGTGCATAATGATATTCATATGTAAATTTTTGTAAATACATTTTTTCAGTTCAATAAACTGCGCGCTGATTTGATTTGTCGAACTTAAAATGCAATCGTAAATTGCTAATAAACATCATTATTAAATTGACAATCAGTCTAATTTATGGGATATAAATATTTAAAAATTTTAATTGCTTTCCATAAACAATACAACAGTCGACCAATACTTAGTCTTTCGTGTGATCTTGTCCTTATTAGAATTCAGAGAAACCTCGACGCTTAGAAAAGAAGAGAAAATAGAAAAAATAAGACCTTCCTTTTTTCCTTCTCTCTCAAAAAGGAAGAACCATTGTGCGACGAAGAAATAACGAAGCTACATTTCATTCGCAATAAAAAGATTGAGAGAATTTAAAAAATACCTTCATTCTCTACGCACACAAAAATCCGATCCTGGCATCGTCGAAAAATCGCAACGCCGCGACGACAGTTCAATCGACGAGGAGAGCGTGAATTTGAAAGATCTCAGCGGAGCTCGTTGTCGAACGTTTTCGTGTCAAACGTGAACGCCGATGGAAATAATTTTCACAATTCTGCCTTCGCGTGGATAGGTAACGGAAAGTTAAACGAGGCGCTCGACAAGTCGTTCCGCTGAACTTCCTCTCGAAAACTTGAACGTTGTCAACCTATCGTTAGACTTTCCCGTGATAATATATACAGTGATACATTAGCTAACGAGCAACCATCGTACTTGACCATTATCTCTTTATATACATTGAAACACCACACACCCGACGATTGATTCGACGTTATTTGCTTCTCGAGGACAGCGACTACTTCGCGTTACCAACGCAAACATCGTTATTCATTCCTTGCTTTGTCACACACACGCACACCCATGCTCTCTCTCTCTCTCCTTTTTCTTTTTTCTTTTTTCTATTTTTTTACACATTACGAGTCTATCGATCATCCAAAGCGCGAACTTTTCCACGAGCAAAGTTCGCGTTACACCGTTTCCATTACGCTTTTCGTCGATTCGTTAGTTCCATTCTCGGCGTAGAAGTTTCACGACTTCGTCGCGAAGTGTCACGTGGAAGACCAGTTTTTTGCAAAACCTTACAAAGTGAAGCTTACCTCGCGCGAGAACGCAAAGAATATCGCGTTATGTCCCTTTAGACTTTTCTCTCTTTCTCTTTTTCTCATCCGCCAATCGAACGCGAATAACGGTAATAACGATTTGATAAAGGACCCGTTAAAACTATGTATATATTTACACACACGCATTCACATACACCCCGGTGGGAATTCTTAGAACGTTTGGAGAGCGTCCGAGTCTCGCAAGAGTAGTATTTTTTGCATTATTCGGCGGGGAGTACAGACAACTCGTGTCAACGGTAGAAAAATTTATAAATGCTCTATCACAATTACCAATAGATTGTAATGTGAAATGTAATGTGCGCCTGGTTTTATCTTCGCTTTCACTTTGTACGTTACGCGGCTCGGCCGCGTGGTTCTATTTTCATCCCTTTTAAGATGGGACGAGGAGGTTGCCTCTTCTCTTTCGACTGTCCGTTAATTCAATTATATTTACTTGACATCGTAAAAATTAAACGGCAGTGAGATTAACGCGGTCGATGCGATCTCGAGATTCGATATGTAGACGATATGTCGACGATTCACGAGCGCTTTTCTTTTATCTCGAGAGATTTTCTTGAATTTTAATATCGTTATCGTTATTCACGCTCGCAATATCGCGCGAACGTAAATATCATCGACCGCATTCGTTCAGCATTGTCGATACTGCGATATGTGAAAGTTGTGCCCAAAATATCGAAATCGAAGAATTTAAACAGGATATCGACGCCCGCGTTTCTCATCCCTTTTCTCTCGCTTTATCGCGATATCGGAGCTGATCGTTCAACCTTAAAACCGCATTTCACGCCTTCAAACTACACGCCAAAGTGGCATCGAGCATTCCCTTTCTTCCTTTCACTTCCCTCCCGCCCTCCTCTCGCCCGACTTCTTCTCGGCTCCTCCCCGGTATATTTTCGCGCGGTTCCTCCATTCGTCTTCATTCGAGTCATCGGAAAAGGGGTTCGTTCGAGAGCCTTTTATCTTTTCTCGTGTTTCACGGCCTGATGCTTCCGGACCAACGTTTCGTTGGTAGAATTCGGATTTATTTAAGGACGTCGCTAGGAATGTACACGATGGATACTAAGTACTTAAAGAAATTTTAAGGGGAAATTCTTCACACAAATTTAAGACAAAAATTTATTCATATGATCGAAATGGGTTAGTTTCAAAGAGAGTGTCAAAGTTAAAAGAAAAATTTTGTTTTTTTAAAACATTTCAAAAATCACTCGGATTATTTTGTATTTAGTCTTTAATTTTTTTTAAGGATACCTTAAAATATTTTAAAGTACTTACTTAGTAACTATCCAGTAAAAAAGAAAGGAAAATAACAATGAACGATCAATGTATCCAGAGTCAATCACCTGAAAATGTACAGTAAAATAAATATTATTAGCTGGAAATATAAAATAAAGAAAAAAAAGTAGAATTGTTTTTTATGATATTAAAATAAAAATTGATTCTATCGGATAAAAAATTCCAAAAATGGGACTGAAATAACAGGAATGAATTTTAATGTTCCTTCCGTTAAGATACTTTCAAAGAGACGTCTTTTAAATTCGGTGTTCAATCTGCGCTGCTCTCGCAACTCGCGATTCGATTTTCCATTCTCTCTTTATGGTCCGCGGCCGCCATAAAGAAGGGAAACGAACTTGGAGAAATATTCGAGAAGACGCAACGTCGAAGATCATCCGGTTTGGAACAAAAAGGGGGGCAAAGACGGTTAAGTCGACGACCGAAAACAGAATGTTAGAACTTTGCAATACCTCCCGAGGCGGGACGGGGAAACTTCGACGAGTTTTCGGTTAACTTCTTCGCATACTTCCGGCCCCTTCCTTTCCGCTCCGCAACGGGAAACTGGTGCGGCGATCGTGTTTCGAAAACAATCGCGACGGACGGTGTCTCTCTTAATCTCGTGGACCATCCCGCGAGAAGTTGCGTCGCGCGAGACTTGCCTCCCCCCGTTGCCCTCCGCATCAGGCGCCACCGGACTCGAGCGAAATCAATTGTTCGCGAGACATAATGTCGATCCCCGACACGTAACGTATCCCCGGGCGTCCTATTGATCGTTCCAACTACTCCGCTAGCGAGTCCTCTCCCCGTTTCGTCGAACGAGTCGATCGCACCGGAGATCGTTAGCAAACACGTTAAAGCTAACAGACGGCTGTCACGAAAACGGACAACGCGAACACTTCCCCGAGTAGCGAGACTTCGAAATTGTTCTAGAATACGCGACGAGTACTCTCGAGCACATTCGAGTTTCGCCTTTCACCGGGATCTCGTGCCGGCCTCCGATCGCGGCGCACGCGATAGCTGTATTCTTGAACGCCGTCAGAGTGATGACGGCAACGGCGGTGGCGACGACGGTACCATGTCACTTGCGGACGCGCCAAGCTTCTAGACGCAGCTCTCCGGCAGCCTGTTCGCCATCAGTCTTCGTTTGATCGCCTCGCCGTCGAGGCACTCACCGGCCACGATGACACCTTGTCCGCCACCCACGACGACGCCTTGGCCGGCGCCACCGATTACGACACCCTGGCCGGCGCCCATCATCACCCCTGTCACCGGCATCCCCGGCAGATTTGGTATCGTGCTCCTCGACGGTAACCTCAGCTCCGTCGGCCTCCCCGTGAACTTGTGGCAAAGCTCGTCTATGCTTGGTGTAGGTCCAGGCGTGACCCAGTGTCCCGGGGGATAACCGCCTGGGTAACTCGGCGGGCTGACCTCCACGAGGTTACCCTCTAGAACATCCAAGCAGACGGGGGTTCTCTGTTGGGAACTGCAAGTCGAGTGCGTTATGGGGCGGAAACGCGGAGAATAAGTTGCGCTCGGGGGTGCGCTGTTCTTTCTCTCCCACGGTTCCTTATTCTTCGCCGATTCTTCATTTTAGCTCATGCGGCAAAGGTAAAAGTTCGCTGCGAAATCGCGACTAAAATTTGTAATCTCCAATGGTAGCGCGTTTGGTGAACAGAATGATATGTTATGCTTCTTTAAACTTTTTGATCAACTTTTTCAATGTACAATTCTTATGTAAAAATGAAAGCGAGTATCTTCGAAAAATACTAGACTCTCGAAAAAATTATTCTATCCATTTTAATTTTAAAAAGGTGGAAGACTAAACCTTTTTTCCCCCCTTATTTTCGAACAAACTTTAAAAAGTACGGTGACCGGCTAAAACTGCAGTTAAAACACAGATTAAACAAATATCATCTTTTAATTAAATTTGATTGAAAGCCACGTGTAACTTTTGAATTTTCAAAATTAAATACGGAATAGTTGAATATAGAATAAATAAAAGGAAATATGGAAAAAAGTTACAATTGTAATTTTTCTACGTTGAATTAGAAACCTAGAATTTCTGTAAAAAAAATGCTATTCGCATTTCTCAAACGCATTTATGATCAAACATCCTGCACAAGCGCATAGAAAGGATCAAATTTGTTGAGGGAATAAAGTTTGCTGTTTATTATTCTTTATCTAGTTTAACACAGTATCTCAAATAAACGATTATGATACGATTTTACAATCATGGCTGTATGGCATATACATGTGTTCCGATGCCAGTGCTGAAAATCTATAATGCATGCTATAGATTTTCAGCGCCGACAGTGAATATCGAAACGCAGTTCATATTGTTTCCTCTATACAATTGCAACAAGCAAGATGTTTCAATAAAACATATTCATGGTCCATAAGTCTTGGGCTAATTCCAGGTTTGCAAGGGGCATGTGCCACTATGTATACAAAGGGTCTACAGACCATCGTAATCGGATTCACGCGAAGGCTGTTTAGTGGGTATCGGCTTCGAGGAGTCTTACCGAACTTGTTCGGGATCACGTCGGGATCAGTCTCCACGGTCTGCTGAGAATTCTGCAAGGGGTATTGTTGGGGCGGTAACTCGCTGAGTTCCGCCGGTTTCTCGTGCCGCGGTTTTGCCACGCGCTCTCGACGTACTCGGACCACCACTACCAGGATGATGAGCACTAGAGTCACCAAGGCGCCGACCACCACGCCTATCAGCGGTGACAACACGATACCAGCGTCCTGACCTGCAACGACAAGAAAGGGCGACTCTTACCTTCTTGCTGTGTTTCAAGCTCAATTAGAGACTGATTAAATCTGATTTGCTCATTAAATTGTTTTATCGATTAAATGAACACGGTAAGGTTATTCTTATAAATTATATACATATATTTTTTAATAAATTATTTATATATACTTATAAATTACTGTCACATAAAATGCGTTGATACATTCTTTCTCTTTATGCACATTTATATTAAGAAATTATAAATACTGTGTGTCACGATTATTTTTCAATCGTCCGCAGCAATCAATTTACGAATAAATAAAATAAACACAAACAAGAAGAAGGGAGCCAATAACGGTCAAAGCTGGATCATAATTATGGATATTATAATTATGTGTGAATTTTATATACTGCGTATGTATAGATAGTTCCCTCAAACGCAGTATATAAAATTTATCACTTGTACGATCCTAGAAAGATTTTAATATTTGTTAAATAAAATAAACATATAAATTATGATGCGTATTGCTTCTTGTCTTTTTAATTTCAAGAAAATATATATTCAACGCTTCTTTGTCTCTTAATAATTGTTGTAAATCGTACTTGCAAAAATCTTCTCTTTTCTTATACTACAAATTTTTGTATATTATGATATAAACATAGTGTTGAACAATTAAATCAAAGCGATAAGGATTGCGAGAAAAGAGTTATTACTACTTGTTGAGCCGAGTGGTCGAAGAATAAAGTTAATGTGGATAATCCTGTGAGATAAAGGATTAACCGCCCTGTGTCCCCGTAAAAGGAAAACGACTACTGCCTCCACCCTTTACTTATGAATCCTTTCATTTTTTTCATCCTTTCCTTCTCTTATACGAGTCAGCGTTGCTACTTGCGTAAACCCCCGACCGATGTCGCAGTAGAGAAAACATTTTATATTCTTCAATGTCGGGATTACATAGCATGCGGTATTTTTTTGCGGTGCTGTCACGTACATGATGGGTTTTACTAGCATTCGGTATTTTCGAATCGTTTGTGGAATCTCAAGTAGTAATCATGCATGAGAAAATATCTGATTGCATATAGAGATATGTACTGATGATTAAAAGTCACATGCAAGATGTGAATGCAATCATGTTCATTTATATCTCAAGAATCGTGTTATATATCGGAACAAATGTAATTATTTAATTTTTAAAAGCAAAATGTGACTTCATGTCAAAATAAGTTTACAAATTATACATTTTGTCAGTTTTTTTTTTTACAAGAAGACAAATTTTCGAATTCACGCTTGTTTGTCAGATCAGAAACATAATTTAAAACTTTGAATAAATATAATTTATATAATTCATATGCCAAAATACAAAACAGAATTTTATTATGCATAATTTCATAAACTAACAAAAAATATTTTAAATGTAAAAATATATATTAAAATAAATATAAAAAAATACATGGAATATAAAATAGTAAATAAAATTTTATTTCCAAATTCACCTTAAAGGATTTATAAATTTTAATATTGCATATATTACAATGTATACATGTAGTTTAATACATATTTGATGTACGTTTTGGTACATACCTATGTAAAATATATTTTTTATTTACGCATTCTAATTCTCCTATTTCTTTTGTATTACACAGGCATTTATGGGAAAAATTATAAATAAAATTCCATTGAATTCAGAGCAATTCCATCTGAATTAATTAGAACATTTAAAGTAGCTAAAGTATTTAAGCAAAACAGACGCTCTTCCGGTTTTCTCTTTAAAAATTTTGCGCGCCGAGTTAGACGCGCAATGACACCGGAGGTTTGCTCCATGGTTAAAGCGTCATGTTGAAATTATTTCTCACGATGCACAGGGTGAGCGATCATCGCACGGTATGAGAAATCTTGCAGCGTTGTTTTTCGCTTTCAACCCCCGCTGCCGCGCCACCCCACGTATCGTCGGGCTCGCGCTCCCGTTCGCGCACACGTGATAGCGTCCCGCTTGATAGCGCCGGCAGGGCGTGGGACCGCGCCTGCTGTTTTTGTCGGATAATTAACAAAACTGCTTTCTTGCATCGTTCTGAGTTGCGATCAGGTGCGCCGCTGTGCGAAGCGGAGCTGGGAGCTACGGGGCAGAAGAGAGAGCGTACCGCTTGCTCCGCGAACCCTTAATCTTGAAATTCTCGCCAACTTATTTACGCCGATTAAGCCAACCCCTGGCTCGCGAGGCTCTGATGCGCGCTTATATCGCGAGCATGAATCACGTTGGTATCGTTCTAGCATTGAAAAATATACACTCATATCAGTTTGAAGATTAGTATTTCTCCAGCTATTTTTTAATAGTTCTTTTAATAGCGCGATTACACTGTTCGACTAAAACAGCACTAAACAAAAGTCATTTCTCATAGTTGTCTTGGACGCTGAGTCTGCTTTTCAAATTCCATCATGTCATAACTTCGAGAAAGTTCAAGAAACTCTTAAATTTGAATAAACACAATTGAAAATTATTTAGTAAATCATAAGTGACCTAATTCACAGCTTTTTCGTAAAAGACTGTATTCAGCTATGTATATCTTACTACCATAACCAACATTAAAAATCCTTTTGAGGTCTGAAACTCCTAACATTTCATACGTTATTTTGATGTATAAATAAAACTTTTCTAGCACGTCACATATCTTAGTTATATAATATGTCAAAAAACCAATGAAAATAGTTATCCTTTACAATTTTAATGTTTTGTTTTCTCAAAATTGCAGCAATTTGGAAAAGGGATTCGTATTTAAAAATGACTAATCTTCTTTCGGTGTTCAACAAATCTTTTTTATCAAATTAAAATATTTTTATGCCGAAATATTTGTGTAGCATACAGTTTTATCGAGATTATGATAAGCTCATGGAGAAAAAGAAATGCGGTATTTTATGAATTAATTATTATACAGATAGTGAAAAGATATGGTAAGAGTCTCATTAATTTTATTTGCTGAAAATAATTTTGTTGAATCTGTAAATTTTTTTATTTCTCTATAACAGGAAACTGTCTTGTTACCACAGAGAAATGTATTATTATTTACTAAGGCGGTAGACTTTCCATTTCGTTTTAGTAGCAAATTTGTGTTTCCGCAGACAAATTTGCTCAGCGAGATGCTTCAACGAAACAGACCTCTCGCTGTAATATCAAATAATCAATGGCGACCAACTAAGTTTAATTGCTTTCATATCGAATAGCAGCTACGACTTTCTTCATCAACAGTAAATCCATCTTTTTTCTCGTGAGCCACGTAGAGAAGCGGCACCGTGACAATTGGACCGGTCGTCTCGTTTGCGCGGCCTGCGGCAACTCTCGCTGTAATACCGGAATATTTACGCGTGTAAATGCATTAAGGTGCACGCGTGTGTACGTGTGAGGCATTTTGCCAGTGCGCACGGATGCGCGGTAATGCCCGTAAAACCCTCGGTTTAATCAGCCGGCAACCTAGGGTACACACCACCGTGACCGAGCCCGTAACCCGAGGAACGTTCTGTGTCACGCGGCGATATTATGCTGGGCATGGTGTCGAGCCATAAATGAGCTCCACGCCAAGAAACTCGGGGTCGCACCATTCCAGCCGAATACCGGAGCTACGAGAGGAGTAGCGAGCTTAAGAAACTCGTAAACGCGAGTCGCAGCATTTCACCGAGTGACCGTTTATTCGCGTGAATCTCGAGATCGTCGTTTTTATTACGCATTATATATCCTCGATTGCGTGCGCTCTGCGACTCGCGTGCGTGGAGATTTTCTAGAAATGCATGTGCGTGTCGAAGAAATTCGCGGAAAGCTACCAGACAGTCACGACAGGATGGCAAGGTGAATTTTTCCCCGAGTGACCCTTTTGCGGTGCTCAAAAAGAAAAAAGATACTAAATAACGTGCACACTGAGGCTATTAATGTAGCTTTGCGATGTTGTAATTTGTAAAAGCCACCTTTTGTTTATACTTCGTAAAGAACTTTTGTAGAAGCAAATGTGTATCTCTTTCTGGTTATAATAAATTTTTAAATCTGATTTCATTTATATATTAAATAACGCGGCATTATTTATATATAGAGTCCTGCGAATCAAATTAAAAGACATCAAGTTGATGTTATCCCCAACTTGAGTTATTTTTAATCGTTTATGTAGGTTGTCACCGCTTCTCAAATAGACCCACTCAATATGTCGTTAATTTAATTAAAATACAATTGAGTTAATCAATTCAGTTCAAGAAAATGTATTAAATTTGACTTAAATTTAGTTTATTATTTACTAATAAGTGTAGTCGTAAATATGGATGTTGTTTACTTTAAAATCAACAATTTAAACAATTTAACCACAGAAATAGATTGATTTATATTTTGATATATGAAAGTTAAAAATAATAAGATGTTATTCAACTGAAAGGACTGATTATCTTTTGATATTTTTAACAGTGAGAAGTCACTTAGGAAAAAAACACAAATGTAAAATTTTAACTTTTACATAAATATCTCCGCTAAATTTGTTTCTTTTCCTAATTACAAAAGATATCTTTGTAATCAGAATACACACAAAAGTCAGACATTTTTTTGCGCAAGCTGATTATACGAGTATCGCACTCAACGAACTGTTTTCATTTTTTTTTTTGTGTAATTGGCCACGGCTTCGACTAGACCGTAAAGGAAGATTTATGGAAGTCGCAGTAGCACGTACGACGAGCATGTCACGTGTGAGCACACATAAGCGACACGGAGTCCTATTGCAACGAGCTTAAGAAACTCTCGTAAATTCATCCTACTCTGTGGATGAACTGCAGTAAGGCTTTTGACAATTTAGTTGAGAAAGATTTATGATGCCGAAGTACCGCGGTGCGGCGCTACTTTGACGGCTTAAGCTTTTAAATATTTCATTATTTCTGTTATTTTTGACCGAGAAACGGCTCGAGAACTGTCGCGTTTTAACTTACACTTCGAGTCTTGATTATGTCATTTTGTTCTCCGTTTAAACTCCTTTTACTTCCGCTAAGAATGTAAAAGT